CTTTGAAAATGTCCACCGCAGTTGTGGACGAAACGTCAGGAAGAAATTCCGATAGACCACGGCTTCAAAGCCCGGAAAACATTCCTAAATATTATAAGATAGTTAATCGTTTAACGTGGTAATACGAAAAATTAACTCTAGATCGGGTTTTACAATAAAAAGCCAGATCTAGATCTGTTTATTGTTTACTTATCGAAAAGTGTCCAGTCCTATAGTTCCATATATACAGAGTGTTCCTTTGTTTGCTGTAATTGTATACTGGGTGGGGCAGATTGTTTATGGAAAATCGGGTTTTCATCGTTAAGAGTCCCAGGATTTTGGAAAACTCAATTTTTCAAAGCTTCGAGTAACAAACGTTCCGAAAGCCCACGTTATGCTAAATTACCAGGTAAAAAAATAACAGTAATTAAATGTATTTGCTTTCGCTTCAGGCACTTAATTCCTCTCTGTAAACCTAATAATCACTTAAGTCTAGCCTGGCGCGCATCTGTAACACAACCCCATAGTTCAATGATAAGTTCATCTGTAAACTCGAAAGCCGCTAGATCTGAATCGTCAATGGCCTCGGCGAATTCCATCGAATTCAACTTTCCTTCACTCATTTCCCAGATTTGCGTCGCCAGCTCCGAGTCATTTATTCCCATAAACGATTCCAAAACGCCGTTGATTTTCTCGATTCCCGAGTCCATTGCATCATCCTGAAGATTGGCTCTGTTGAAAATTTAGTCGGTTTGGATCAACTTTACTTGCCTGTTCCTGTATCTCAGCTTTTCCTCCCGCTTTGAACCTGAGCGTTTCCTTTCCTGACCCGTACCCGGCCTTTTTCGGGGCTCGTGTGCTGTTTTTGGGCGCAATTTGGCCGAACCCACTTGCCATTGGTTCCACTAGTCTTATTGTGAACGTGGAACCCAGGGGGATGGTTTTAAGGGCTGTGGCCACCTCAAAGTGCCTCTTGCCCACCATGTTCACATCGTTCAGTTTTTCAATGTGATCCCCCACCTGGAAGGCACTTATTCCATTAGTTTCGGCTTTACGCTCCAAATATATGGAAAAAAGTGCATCCAATGGGCGTGAAATTTCATTGAATTGTCTATTTTCGCATAAAAAAAACCCGGTTGCGTTTTCCCATTTACTCACTTTGATGTGTGGAATATTCGATATCACCGATCCTTCTTTGATGCGTTTGATGAATGAATATCCAGCTCCATTATCGGTAATCGTCAGTCCTAGGGAATCTTCAGTCTTTTGCAATTCCACTTCTTTGGGTCGGCCTGTAATCGGAAAGTTTCATGTCATCGAAGCAAATTCATTTAGGTGTTTTCACTGTGGTTTTGAGGGTACTGAAGTTGAAATTCACGCAAAAAATCGACATAGATAACGGCTTTTCTCCGGTTAACTAGTCGGACTGTTTCTATAATACTTGGACTGGGTGCCCAACACCCAGTCCAATTTGCTTTCGAATTTCGCTCAGCAATCGAACGTTTGCCGGAAATTCAGGCAAAACGATTTGTTTATTAATAATGCAAGTTGCAGCTTCGGCATTCCAAAGCAACAATCCCGTTACGTTGAAAAGTTATCGGCCGTTGACCATATTTGATCCTCGTTGATGCTTGTTTGTGTTTATTGCTGGTCGTATAAGCGAGTGAATGCCCATTTTTTACTTAATTACTTACCAAGTAACGATTACAGCGATTTTATCTGTTGATAACTGTTCAATTTACGTAGGCAGTTCCTGATGTTATCGGAATTTCGATTAAAATTTCCTTCTTAGTCTTTGAGACAAATTTCGATCAAACCCATGCTTACCTTTTCGATGTGCAAAAATGAAGTCTTCCAGGCCTATTTGTCCTCCCAGCAGCTTCTTCATGTCAGGCTTGAAGGTATTGAGCGTGCAGAATATTATCTGCAAAAGAGTGGCCAATTGGAATGTTTCAATGCAAAAATCGTTTAAGAATGGGACTTTCAAATTCCAATATTTCCCTGACTTCCTCAATCATTAATTAATGTGTTTTTAATTGTGTACAAATTAACTGATTTGCACCGATTAAGATTAACTGTGCGGAATTTCAGTGGCTTTAAGCGGATTTAGGCAGAATTTACTTTTGACGAGATTTTGCTGAGGATGCATGGATTTTCCTATGCTGCACTCAAACCTCCGTAGTTTAATGCGTCTTTAGATTATTCTGGTGGGCAGTTATCAATTGCTTCATCAGAAATCTCTCATCGTTTATTCTTGTGCCACTTTAGAACATTTATTGTCTATTAAACTAACAATGAGACGCAATGTTTCCGAATATATGCCGGTTTCACTTAAGAGCGTGCTACTTAAACTTTTGTACAGACAAAATAACCATGGGAAACTTTAATTAAATTTGTATACCGGATGTCTCGAAAATAACTACCGTAAATAGACCTAACATGGGTCCGCAAAAGCTTCGTTTGCTAAATACAGGGCATCAAACTTTACTTTGAAAAACTCAAAATTCCAAATGTCTGCAAAACGGTTTGATCCATCTAAAAAGAGCTTCAGCTTTTTGGGCAGTGAAAGCTGCCCAAAAAATTTTGAATTTCCGTTTCAAATGGCTAAAATAAAACTGATTTTTCCATTCAGCAACGTAGCCGCTATCGGTTTGCCTCACTCGCGCTCATCAAAATCAAGAGAGATGCAAGATGGCGTGCGCGTTGCTACGTTCCCACTTGATACCCTCGCAGCTTAAAATAGTTCAAGAGAACCGTGGAATTCAACTAGACTAAACGCTAATAAGAGACGGAAAAAGCGGAAACAAACACTACAACATGAACCAAAATGGAAGCGAATGCATATGTAAATCTACACCAGTCCGATTAGCGGTCGAGCGTGGTTCCCATTTCATTTCAAGGTTCAACTGCCCATAATGTCCGTTTAATTAATGGAACCCACCTGGGGTTCTCTTTGTTGAATCAATGAATTCTGATAAATACCTGGAATTATTGCCAACACCTTGGCACGAAAACTGAATTAGCCTCTTCTAGTTGAACTGCGCTGGGGAAACCGATGGATTTGACTGAAAACCCTCATTTTTATCTAATGCATCGTATCATTTTAAATGTGTTAAATCCGGGCACTTGGCAGGTTTCAAAGCGCTCGGATGAAATTGATAGGCATTTGTTTGAATTTCACTCCAAGAAAACCAATCCCTTTGAATACCGGGTGTGCGAAGAACATCATTTCTGAAGTTTTCCAGGCGAAAACTCTCTTCAGAATCAATTGGCTTAGTTATCAAGTAAGCAGCTGTCAAAGAAACACGACTGTCAAATTAGTCGATTGTCTTTTGGCGGGTGGTGCGCGTTTGCTGCGCAGAATTTTGCGGAAAACTCGCGGTTTTTTTAGCTTTTTCTGGGAAAACTGCTGATTTTCTGAAAATGGACTTTCCCCTCGTGGTTTTGTGCAATTTTCCTCACTGGTAGAGGGATGTTTAGCAGAAAAACGCGATTTTTCATTTGGAGCCTGACGTTTGCTGCAGGGGCGGATCCAGCTTTAAAGTCAGGGGGGGGG